AGCAGGTGCCATGTACTGTTCTGTAAATAATAAAATATAAAATTTCAATTGAGAGACAAAATGCGGGTCCATAAATCGCATTGATATCTGGCCTGACAGCATTAAAGCATCGCTTTTAACCTCATTTTAACTTTGTAGTACTTTGTTTTTAATGCTTTTTATGGCCAATACAAAGAAATAATTGGAATGATTGAATGTTGCCCTCACTCAATCCCAAGTCCTCACTTCAATAAAATTTAAAGTGGTTTTTAATGCTTTTCGTTTAGTGCGCCTCGCCACTTCGATAGGAAATTTACATTGAGCTGTCGTTATATGAGGCTATGGAGCGCTGATTCTATTAGGGGTCGACTAGGAAATATTTTCCCTAATGAATTACTGGCATTAGCTGGGTCGCTTTTGTATGCAAATCAAATTGTATAGTCCTACAAAATCAGACATGAAAATCGATAAGAATCACAAGAGCCTGAGTAAATGTCTGAGAGCATTTCAGCAACCTTGAAGCAACATCCAGGCTAACTGGAGGTGAGTTTAATGGCAACGAAACGATGCGATGCGTTGCAATTCACACACGTACACACACATATTAAGGCAAGTCTAGGGGTGACATTTCAAGACAGCTACAAAAGGAATTGTTGATATGTATGTCAAAGGTCATAGGAAGACAGGTTAGAAATTCCCTTTGACGTGGTTTCGACGTTAGTTAAATGTCAATAAACACCTTTGATAAGTAATCATGCACTGAGCTAAAAAGTGACCTGTAGGTCTATATATAGGTTCTATATTCTATATTCTATATTCTATATTCTATATTCTATATTCTATATTCTATATTCTATATTCTATATTCTATATTCTATATTCTATATTCTATATTCTATATTCTATATTCTATATTCTATATTCTATATTCTATATTCTATATTCTATATTCTATATTCTATATTCTATATTCTATATTCTATATTTTTTCTTTCTAAATGTCCTTTTATTTTTTTGAGTGTGTGTGTCAGTGTGTAATGTACACCCATCAATAAGCATAGACGTAACGACTATGGCCACGGCTGATGCCCCAATCGGCTGCACATCTAAATCCACCTCAAATTGAATAATGAATGCAAAGTGACTGAGTGGCCGCCATTGCTGCCACCGCCCATTGCTATCGCTGCTCAATGAAATGCATTAAATCAGGGTATCGTTGAAAGCAACTTCTGGTCGCCAGGAGGTAGCTGCAACCGCCAACCCCTCGTTCACAACAATACAAGCAGCGACAACAGCAACAACAACAGCAACAGCAGCAGCGCGGTGCAATTGGACAGGTGCCCCAAAAAGCAGGCAACGAAATTTTAATTCACGAACTGTGAGCGACGCAACGTTTCGTGTTGCAGCCCCACCCAGCCATTCGCACTCCTTTGACCAACCCTCGCTGTGCTGTAAACATCAATTACGCCGCCCCCAAAACTATTCAAGCGATTAGCCGCGTTTTCTAGTTATTGGGTAATAGCCATTGCCACTTGCCGCTTTTTGGTAGCTTGGCCAATAAGTGGGAGGCTTAAGGGAAGGCTTTTTCTAGACATGTAGGTGCAAGCGAATTTCAGCGTTACGCTGAATTGAATTAACGGGTCCGGTTGTGCCGTGGCTAGCTGTAAATTTACAACGGTGCATCTGATAAACGTGGCTGTGCCGACATGCGGGCCCATAAAAAGGCTGAGCCAGTGAGTCAGCAGCCGTCGGGGCCTAAGAGTTATTTCAAATGTTGAAAACTGAGCGAAAAACACAGCGAAATGTAAAACAGACAACGTAAGCGACTCTCTTTATGGGTGTGTGTGTGTGCTTGTGTGTGTGGGTTTGTGTTTGTGTGTGTGCTTGGCGTGCGTGTGTAAATTTGCTGTGCTGTGCTGTGCCTCTGGCCTGGTCTTAAAAGCGAAAAGCCATTTGTATTCATTTGAAATTAATTTAGCATTCATGCAAGGCACAAGACGCGCCAGCCGCAAGAGACGCAACATCAGCAGCAGTGATAGAGGGGCGAAGGGGCCTGAGGTGCAGCGAGAGAAGGAGAGGGGCTATAGTATCTGGAGCAGTGGCTGTGGCAATATATGGCGCCCAAAGCTGAGCGGCAGAGCTAAGCAATGGATAAATACGTGTACGTGGCATACATTTGCCAGCAATACAAAAGACGAGCCAAACAATTTGCTCCTAGACCCGTCGTCCTTTGCGCCTTTTGCTTATCGATAAGCAGTTGACGGCTCCGCCCCCAGCCCCCGCCCCGCGCACTGCGCCTGCACTGTGGAAACTAGCTAGGCTGGTGGCCCAAGGCTCGAGCCCCGAGACGTGCGCCTGCTCCACTAATTTTAACAAATTAATTGGCAACAATAAATTCACTTGCAAAAAGGTGCGCAGATAGCATCTCGCATAGGTTCTACAGCAATAGGAATGTGATAGGGAGCTGTGGGTGGAGTGGGGAGAAGCTATAGATTGCTTCACTAATTTGATTCGCTCAATGACAGACACTTAAGCACCGCTATACACCTAATATATTTAACATACCCAGCAGCTACAATGGAGCTAGAAGCCGTGCAGTAAGCGTGCTTCATATATAAAGTATGATTAGGTTTATTGGATAAAAAGGAAACAAGATTTGTGACTAGAGCAGGATAAAACCCATGTATAAAAGGTTTTTTCAAATGATTGTACGATATAAATATTTGTAATTCCAAGCAGACAGAAGATAGAATCACATGAGAATCGCAAAGAAGAGCTACTTTAAAAATATACTTGTATTTTAATATACAAATGTGAAATTAAATTTAGTTGATCCTTTTTATAACAGCATATAATCATATATATTAAAATTAGAAAAGCATCGGAAAATATATTTAAGGTCTTAAGAATCATAGAGAAGAACGGATTGCTCTATATACATAAATTTATATATGGAAATATGTCGCTTTAAATTATTTTTGACTGCAAAAGTTACGTATAAACTAAAGTAAATTTGAGTAAGATACATGGAAATAAGCGGACAAAAACACATACTTTGATAAATAATTCATATACACATTAAACTTGTACAGTTCTGCTTATATGAAGTTTGAGAAACTTATGAAAGCGTCAAGGCTTTTGAGAAACTTTCTGAAAACTTTAGATTTTAGCAAATATAACGCAAATACCAGCAAAATGAACATAATCAACCAAACTTGTTGATGGAAAATCTCTTGGATTAGATGTCTTGCTTTGTTCTATTATATCTACAAACAAAAAGAGAAAATGAAAAAAAATAAATAAAAAACAGTTCTATAAGATAAAGATGGTTTCAGATGAAGCTTAGCATAAGACGCTTCAGAAAGCTTGGTATGTAGTCAGATTAAACGAAAGTCCATATAAACTAGACATGGCTTGGAGCACGCAAAGCTGTGTAAGTTGTCAGCGTTTATTTTCTTTTATTCTTTGCAAACTGTTGACCACATCTAAAGCGCCTACCTGACACAAAAGTTTTTAATGTGTGTAAAATAAATTTTATTTACGCAGTTGCCACAACAATCAAAAATGCCAAAAATAGTTTCTTTTGTAAACAGCATTCTCCATATATTGCTTATATACATAAGTATTCATATATATACAAATATACATCCTATTTAGCTTAGGGAATTTGCAATGGAATTGTGAACTTGAAACGCTTGAGTGCTTTTATTGTCCGCTAGGTGTCGCCCTTTGACATTTATGCATTGTGCTGCCCACAAAAATTTACATTCAGTCGCGTACCGAGCGTTTTTCTAGTCAAGCACTCTCGACTCTCGAAAATTTGGGCACTTTATTTATTAGTCTGTAAGCCGGCCGTTGAAATGCCCCGCCGACTTGCAGCCCACGAGGCCCGGAGATCTCCGACCCCAGCTTAGTTCAGACGTAAAGCCAAGCGCTCATCGCGTCCCTCAGCTGTCCGGCTATGTTTTGCGGGCATATTTTGGGGGCATTGTTGCGGGTGTACGAGGTTACGGATACGCTTTCGACAGCAACATTTGCAGGCCATAACACGCAACATTTGACACGGTCGGCCGAGGAGACTCGCAGCAGCAGCAGCAGCAGCGCCAGCGCCACCTGTACATTACAGGTGCTACTCGGGAGGGGGTAGGGGGTGGGACAGGTGTTGGAACGGCCTCACAAATCTTTCATGACTGCGACGCGTGTACATAAACTCAAATTGGCCTATAACTGTCTGTTCAATTGTTTTTGTCGCATGCGACTAGGCCATGGGTCGAGGGACGCGTTGGCGGGCCTCGGTGTAACATGCCTACATATTGCGGTAAAAATCACAATTCTGTGGGCCAGCGTAAATCATTCATGTGCGTTGCAAAGCCCCCAAATGTCGACTATATTAATATGCCAAAACGAAGGCATGTATACGGCGAATATTCATTTGTACGTGACTATTGAGCGCATTATGCTCGGGTCCGTTTTCCGACTGCGAGTCAAGCCGATGCCATGCGATGCGATGTGATGCGACGTCGCGACAGGACGAATTGAGTTGAGTTGAGGCAGGTTGTGCTAATAACCCAGTTAACCTTAGAGTCGTCGCCACACTCTCTATTTCTATGCTCTCTAGCTATAGCTCTCTCTTTTCCCTTGGTATCTCTCTCTCTTTCTCTCTCTTACCGATGTACTTTGTTCAACTCTAGCTTTGCCACCTGCAACAAAGTCAACCCCTTTGCCGGAGCTTTAAGGTTAGGCGAAATGTTTTTTTTAGGCCACTTGGCTGCTTATTAAAAATGCAAAGAAATACGCAAATTAAAGTTTTGTCCTCTTTCTATCTCTCTCTCTCTCTCTCTCCCTCTTTCTCTCTCTCTATCTGTCGCTTGTTTTCGACGCGACTGCGCTGTTTGCTCTCGGGATTACAATTCGTGTGCGATGCTTCGGCTGGCATTCGGCTGTTTGTTACTCTCGGCTAAGGTAGACAGCGAAGCGCGCTGGCTGCTTAACTGTCTGATGAATCAGTTCCAGTACGTGAATCCTGCCGCTAGGATGCACGTCTACGCACGGCCGCTGCATTGCTAACTTACATTGTGGCACATTTAAAATAAATCAACTAAAAAAACAGCTTAAGCAGAAAGAGAAATAAAGTAAAACAACGACTATTTAATAACTGTATCCCCAGTCAAACCAACAACAACAACAACAACAACACCAAAAACAATAAGAACACGAACGTTCCACACGTACGATACGGATACACAAAAATGCGAAGCTCACGCGCGCGTGTGTGTGTGCGAGTGAGTGTGAGTGATTGTATCGGTGTGTGTAGTGCTTATATGGCATACCTATAGAGCTGTACCTAATATGCCCATGCATATATATACATACAAATAAAATAACACAAAGGCAACGTTGTCGTCGCTCACCTCGTCTCCTCGTTTCTGTTCCCTGTGCCCCGCGTGTGTCCGTGTCCGTGTCCGTGCTGATTGTCGTTGGTCGAGTGCTAAACGGAAATATTTGGTAGTCCAGGCTATTGCCAGAGAAAATACATATTTATAAAAAAGAAAAACGAACTGTATAAGGAAAACGTAAAAGAAAAACACAAACGGTAAACCGGAGAAAGCAACAATGGCAGCCCAAATGAGCGGCAATTGAAGCGAGAAATGTGTGCACACATAAATGTAGAGTTTCCAGTAATTATTCCGCATTGCGCAATCGATTGTCAAAATAAATCAACTCTGCACAAAAAATAGGATCTAGAATTGGGCTTGGAAATGGTGGACAAAGGCAATGCCAGGAATACACATAGAACAGGTGCTTAAAGGTAAATTAAATCATGCAAATATCTAATGAAACTTTAATTGAAACATCTGTTTGAATAGCTTGAACAATCTTAAGATATTTTTAAAAATTAGATGGAATAAATAAAATTGTAAGAAAAGATGATCTTCACTCTAAGAAGTAACTAAAGTTAATATCTAAAAGAAATATCTCTGGAACTTAAAAAGATAAATTCCAATTGAAAATAATATAATTAGTAATATAATAATAATTATAGATAGGTAGAAGATCTGACCGTTCATATTTCCTTTCGATCATCAGAGATCGTTAGAGAAACCCTAGTGAGCTAGAAAGGGAAAAAAACTTATAATGGGCCATACATTTGACTGTGCATTTTTTTGTAAAAATTCTATGCTACATGGAGCCTAGATTCCAAAGAGAACCGTTTGTGTGTGACATTGACAGATATGCGGTTTTCAAATGCCGTTCAGAATTGTAGCTTAGCGGCTGTCGGGACCTGACGTTTGTTTGTTTGATTTCCATGGAAAACTGACGATTCAGGCCCCGGGCGATAATTCTTTATAATGGCAGCGCAAAATGCTCATGCAAAAAAGGGACAGCGGTCAGAGGCGCAAACAAATAAATACATATACACCCGCACACACACAGAAACACAGAGGCTCGTAAATATATATATATTTAAGCGGGGTTCTGACCAAAACAAATAGCGGGCCACACGAACCCCTTGACCCGAGTCACGCAGCTAATTGGACTGACAACAAATTTTTATATGTATACATATATATACGTATATATACAAACATACATACACATATATATTTTTGAGTAATGGCCCAGGATTATGAATATTTTTCCCGTGCTAAATATATTTTCATGGAATTTTAGTATTTCTGCGTTCTTCGGTTAAGCCATCGCAGCTGGACGAAAAATATATATATTCGGCTGTTCTGTTTTCTCACCATGGCTGAGCGAAAGAGCTACATGCCCATAATTTTCCATCATAAATTGTACACGTAATTTATAACAAATGCACTGAATATTACGAGTACTTGCCCGCTGGAGAAATGAGTATTAAAGCGTATAAATAAGCACTTATTTGGTGATAAAGCTGCCTCGTTTATCTAAGAGCCATGTAACTCCCCAAAATAGTAATTACAATAAATTATTCTATTAAGCACTGGGCAACGGCCCAGCTCACATTTATTCTATGCTTGGAATTTGAGAACATATTCAGTCTCGTTTCTATTCAATCTGGCATGGGAAATGTTTATGAAGTATAGTCAAGTTATAATCTAGATAAATTCGATAAAAGATTTTCAATATCAGCAATTCGTTATATGTATCAGTTTCCACTGTTCAAAAGCTGCTTGAATAGATATTTAAATGGTTTACTTGAAACTAAAAGTCAGGTTATGTTGAATTTTGAGCTTAAATTGTGAGTTTATAAGTTTGATAAGTATATTATTTTCATGTTTTAATATTAAATATTTTCAGTATTTTCTATATGATTATATTCAAACTATTATTAATATTATTGAAAATAAATCAAATATATTATAAAAACTTTTCAAAAATTAAACTTTTAAATTGAAAAACTTTCATATTTTTCCAATGGAGTCGAAATTGAAACCCGAAACCAGAAAAGGTTCATTTATTTTGTTATATTTTTATGTAGCCTACTTTTCAGAGCAGCCCCAAGTTTACGGCTTTGCCATTTTTATAGCCTTTAACGCAGCGAAAATTGTGTGCTCTCAGCTAATCAAATGAAATGGCTTCGAAAGCACTTAAATATAATTTAATTTCTAATTTTAAAGATTATCTAGCATATTGCTAATTTTGCGTGGTCTAGTCCATGATCTATCTATATAAAGTGTATGGCATGCCAAGGCGACTTATTAATTATTTTCCAATCAAACGAATCGTGTTCGTTGTGACATATGTACCTGGGAGTATGGTATTATTGATGGTATTTCGGGAGACAGATATAAAGTGCATTAACATTAGGTAATGTGTGGCAGACATGATTAAATGGCGTTGGCTATCCCTGTTCAGATATAGCCAGATACATAATATATAATCCTTAGTTATTCATACATGCAATAAATACAATATATGCTATGTCCGCTGAGTTAAGCATTATATATCCATGGAAATCCAACAATTGTATTTTCTTATTCTGTTCCAGACTCACACAGCATAAGCCTCTATGTAAAGGCCATATTAAAGGTCACAGGAAATAGCAACAATAAAGCAAAGCAAAAATCAGCTGCCCGAGTTCATCGATCAACGTGAATTATGTCGCAGGACATCAACAACAGTTGGGGCTCCTCCCTCAAAGTGCTGTGGGTAACACAACTGTGGCTGCTGCTGCTGCTCTTTGGTACGTTTTGGGATCAAGATGCCAATGACATGGCATTTAAATCGACACGAAGTGGCATGAGCTCATAATACTGCCGTTTATTTAATATACTCTGTGCACAAATCACGAAGTGTCGATTGGCTGGTAAGGCCAGTTTGATCAACTGCCTGTGTTTGTCGAACTTTAGATCAGATAAAGTGTTAAATATGACGAGCCACGCCTCTTCGCGGTTCACAGGTAATTCACAACAACCTTTGGAGGGCTAGGGTCACGAAATATGTTTTGTTGTTGGCTTACTAATTTCCTCCTTTGAATGCAAAGCCAACAACCTTTTGCTTACACGCACACTCGAACTCACGCAAATCGCATAAATCTATATTAGGCGCAGTTTGAAAGACACCATTACAGGTTTAGAGTCACAGGATAAAGGACAATAAAGGAATTTGCCAACTGTTTTATGGCCTTTGCTTAACAAGGCTATTAAGTGATTTTAAGCTGAGCTTGACAATTCCTCTTTGGCTTATTGCTGATTTCATTTTGAAGTGAACTGAATAGCAAATGTCTTTAAGTACAGGGAAAAAACGTGGAATTCCTGTTGGCACCTCGACAGTTGGCGAGTTGTGCACAGAGTATGGCGCAGTCGTTTTCTTTTTAACGACAGAGTTCTTAATTATTTTTCTTGTTATTTTTATTACCACACAGAGACCGGGCTGGTCATCAGCGAAGTGCCTCCACATTACTGGGAAACCCCGTACTCCCAGCCGTATTTTGATAACTCCTCGCGTCGCGAGGTCACGGCGACCGTGGGGCAGGCGGCGCTGCTGCATTGCCGCGTGCGGAATCTGGGCGACCGGGCGGTAAGTTGAATGATGTTTGGGGTCAACCCAGGGGCACGCAATTAAAATGCGCCCAGAGTCAAAGCCAAACATTATATTTGTATATGTGGCGCATTGGGATTGGCTAGCCGTGGGGGGAGGCGCGCGGTGCCTACAGAGGGACAGGGCAAACAAACGACCTGCGGCGAGCGCCTGGCAGATTTGTAGATTACTTTTAAAAGATTACGCCATAAAGTTGGTGGTCTAACCGCCATAGCCCACAGCCCTGGCGCTGCTGCCTATACCCGTCTCACTCATTACATGTAACCAGCCCTCTCGTCCTCTCTGTCTTTCTGTCTCTCTCTGTCTGTCGCTGGTTTTCTGTCTCGCTTGTTGGTTTGTTCTTCCGTTGTTTCTTGTTCTGGTTCGCGCATTTGTAACACGGCTTCGCTTCCGCTCTCAACGATTTGTTAGCAAATGCAACAACAGGCGCTTCCTCCAGCTTACCCCCTCCAGCCACACCTCCTGCTGCTGCCACATTGGTTTCTACCTCAAAAGCGCTGTGGCTGTGCAATTATGCGGTGTAATAAATTTTGTGCTGTCCGTGTTTTGCCCCGACCCGCTAACCTGCGCTCCGGCGCCCTCCTGCTCTATGACCCCAACGACAACGCTGTCAGCGAGTGCGTTGTGTGTCGCCCAACTTTTCGCCGAGACAGTTGAATTGAGTAATTAACGCTTCGAACTGCAAGACAAACCAAGTCTGACAGACAATCAGCCAGTCATTCAGCCATCCAGCTATCCAGCCAGTTAGTCAGCGAGTCAGCTATTCAGCTAGTTGACAACGTGTTTCTAATCCTCGACAAAGACAAACGCATTGTCACGTCTTATATGCAGCTAATTGGAGGCAAAGTCACACAATTGCGTGTCAATCAAAGTTACGATCGGAGATAGGAAACACAAGAAAGTACAGTTTGTGACAAAGATTAAATACTCTGGCTGGGTTAGAGCAGTTAATGCGAAAATATGTTTTCAAATTACAATTTAGGGATTTTTCTCTCCACCTGTGAAATAAAATCCAATTTAACAGTTTAATTAATGCGATTTATTGAATATTTGCCTTGAGTTTCATATTGACTAAGAGGCAACACCTATCAAGTATTGTATACTACGCAACAGCAATTATAACACTTAAATATTCCCTTAGAAAAAACAGAATATTTCACATGTAATAAATATTATATTAAATTTCTTAATTAAGACAAACGCCAATTGGGTAATATTTATGAATATAAATTCACAATTGCTGTGCGAGCTTTGCCAGCAAGTTTTCTCAAGACTTATTTTTGCCTCTGCTTTTGACATTTATTTTAGTTTTTAGTTAAATTCAATTTTGCATTCAGTAAAAGGGGTTAAGACGAATGTACAAAGTTTTTTTTTATTCTTTTATTGCCTTTTCCACAATTGCAAAAGTTAAAATCGGTTTAAAAAACTTGAAACTACGGCTTAAAGCCAATTAGCTAAGTTTCAGTTAAAACAAATGGCAACACAGGTCACACGACTTGCCATTTGATTTAGTTTGGGGTAATTGGTTGAGTTAAATTAACTTTAAGGGGATTCAAACTGTTGGAGTAGATGAAAGACTTTAAGACTTTCATAAACATTGTAAAGCAAACGTAAACTTCTTTGAATAATAACTTATATTTTACGAAAATATTAAAAGCTCTTTTTTAGAGAAATATTGATTTTCAAGCTATATTATCTATTCTGTTTGAAAGTCATTGTTAGCTGCGAGAAAATGGAGAATTCTTAGCGCATAAGAATAAGTCAAACTAGAGAAATTATAAATACTTAAAAGTATATATATATTTACAAACTTTTACCCAATCGATGCGAATTATGCATATATATGCAGTATAACTTAGAGTTAAATATTAAAAGTCGCCGAGCCCCAGTCCCTCATTAGTGCGTTCAACTCTTTTGCTTACGTTAATTAACGATTCACTTAATCTGCCTTTTAAAAAGTTGCTAATAACAGCACAAGCAATCCCATAGGAAGCTTAAGTCTCGGAGTCTGAGAACAGTTAATTATAAATGTATATAAATCAACATTATATTAATAATCGGCTTAGCTCAGGCAGGACTTCTATTTCTTTTATTGTTTTGAATTGCGTTTATTTAATCGTAACGAGTTTACCGTTCGTGGGCGCTTCTTTGATTTCTTCTGCTTCCTGCCTGCGTAGGTCTCGTGGATACGCAAACGGGACCTGCATATATTAACCGTGGGCATATTGACTTATACGAACGATCAGCGGTTTCAATCGCTGCACTCGGAAGGCTCCGACGAGTGGACGTTGCGCATATCTTCGCCCCAGCCACGCGACTCTGGCACCTACGAGTGCCAGGTATCCACGGAGCCGAAAATCAGTCAAGGATTTCGCTTGAATGTTGTGGGTAAGTAGCTATGCGGGTGTGTGTGTGTCTGTGTGTTCCCTTTCTTTTTAAGCATGGGAGCAATTATTTGTATTGTGCGGTTTTTTACAGTGTCGCGCGCTAAAATTCTTGGCAATGCGGAGCTGTTCATCAAGAGCGGCAGCGACATTAATCTCACCTGCCTGGCGATGCAGTCGCCGGTGCCACCGTCGTTTATCTACTGGTATAAAGGCAAGCGGGTCATGAATTATTCGCAGCGCGGGGGCATTAATGTCATCACCGAGCGCTCGACGCGGACCAGCAAGCTGCTGATAGCCAAGGCCACGTCCGCCGATTCCGGCAACTACACGTGCTCGCCAAGTAGCTCAGGTGAGTTGTCTCCACCAAGCTGTGGTTGTGGCTGTCATTTCCCTGCCCCTCTCCCTACCCTATCTCTGCCTCTGTTTTTGTCTCTGTCTCCGTCTCCGTCTCTCTCCTCGATTTCAACATCTTCATCTTCATCTAGTTTAGCACCAACGTCCTTATCCGCCTGTCTGAGGGTTTGTGTGTCAGTTGCAAGTCTCGTTCTATGCCCGCTGGCAATTAATGTGACGGCGCTTGCCAACGGCATTTCCAGCACAACCACCTCATGTCATCTCGCCACCCTCGCTCCCCAGAGATGCACACGTGTCTCTTTTTTATGGCAGGTCACAAGCATAAAGATGGGTACGTGCAAAGGTCGTGCTATGTTGCGTTTGACTCAATTTTAATATGTGTAGAATTCGTGTTGAGTCGGGCTCAAGTTGCAGTCAGTTCGCTTTGAGTCGTGCCATATCGTGTTGTGTGCCATGCGAGTCGTGTTTGCTCGCTGTGCCTCGTGTTATCTCGTGCTTAAAATTCCTTCGAGTAGCAAGAAAGTTGTCCTAGCTTGCACTTGGTCATGTGCCCTTCATGCTTAGTTCTTATTGTATCAGCCAAAAAGTTTGGATTCCTAAGGCTATGTTCTGTTATAAGTAAGTGTATATAGAGCACTGAGTACGGATTCAGATTGTTTTTTTAGTTTTCGTTTCTGGTGCTAAACACGAACTGACAAAAGTAGATTTTCCCACATACATATTTATATAAATATATACATGGCATGAAGTGCTAGCACCAGCCCCCATTGAGATTCCCTCTCGTCCCATCTTCACTTTCCACTCTGCTCAACTTAATAGCATCTTTGTGTATTTTATTTTATGCCCTCATCTTATGCTCAACGTATGTACAGACTCCGCCTCGGTGGTGGTGCACGTCATAAATGGCGAGCATCCGGCTGCGATGCAGCACGGCAACAGCAGCGCCAGCTCCTTGCGCGCTATGTGGAGCCCAGTGCCTTTACTAGCCATCACAACGACGACAGCTGCGGTAGCTGTCACATGGAACTGGAATTTGAACTGGAACTGGAACTGGAGCAGCGGCGGTTGCTTTGTGGCATCAACCGCACTGCTGCCGGCGGCGCTTGCCAAGTGGTGCTGGAGCAGAAGTTGGAGTCTGAGCTGATGGTGTGGCAGCTGTTGCGGCACCCTGAATGACAGCAACCCCGGCCTAGTTGGGGCAGTTGCACTTATCTTCTGTTTAGTGTTAATGATGATGCATTTAATGTGTGTGTTTGTGTCTGTTAGCGGCTCGATGCGATTCATAAACTGAAAAGGTGTGTACATAATGCAAAAGTCCTTTAACGAGTATTATCTTTAAGAAAACCAAATACGATATGCCAGTCAAGTTGACTAAAAAAAGTATTAAGATGCAACATTTTTAAAACGAAACTCTAAGATTGCATAAATCCATTGCATAATCTATAAACAAAAGTCTTTTAACTTTTAATTTAAGCCAAAGAATAAAACAATTTCCCTTATTACTTTTCTGGCGCAGCATGTTGAAAATTAATAAATAAATAATGCTGAAAATACAAGCTTATGTTGCATAGAAGCTCATTCAGTTCAAAGGCACGAACTAAAAAAAAAACAACAATAAAGAAAAACTTGTTTGTGCGCGCCAAAAAGTATGCAGCGAAAAGTTTGCAAAATTGAGTTGAAAGCGTTTTATGTTCCAGCCTCTCCTTTTGTTCCACTTTTGTACACAAAACTCACTTGTAATTCTTTGACATAATTCAGACGTACATACAAATATATATATAGTGAAAATATATAACAATACAACTTACAGCAAAGTCCAGCCAAATTACACGCTATTTAATTTTGATTTCCTTTCTGGTTTTAGGCATAAAAAATTAATAATGAAATAACAAATGTTGTTAGTCGTGCGGCCAGCTCCTGTGTACATAGTATAAATATTTGTTGTTTATCGGCTTGCATCATTCATTATTTGATTAAAATAATTGCGTAATAAAACACGCACACAAAATACCAAAACAAAACCAAAAAACTACTACAAAATGAACAATAATAATTATTTTTTCTATTTCTTTTGTTTTATTTATTTTTTTATGAAACCAAACTGAAATTGATAAATATTTAAAATCTGTGTATATCTAAAAGTTCTTGTCTGGATGTCTGCCATCAACATCAAGTTCTATGTAGTCCATCAACGTGTAAAATAATTATTAAATTGATAATTAATAACTGTACATTTAGCGCTCGATTTTAAGCGGTCTTGATAAGACTTTTAAGCGATAAGTATAAAAGCCCCCAAGTTGACAACTTTCAAATCACAAAAAAGTAAATAAATAAATAAAGAATTGAGAAAATATAAATAATAAATAAATAATGTTTTCTGTTTAAATATAAAATATAAAATGTTTTTCCATAATAAAAGTATGGTAATGGTTAAAATATAAATAAAATGTGTTGACTTTAAGTGGTTGGAAGTCGGGCACACAATTGGAGCTAATAAGCATTTCAGTGGGAATATTAAGTTGCTTGCAACACTCGTTACGGATGATCGCCAGTGAGAGAGGGAGAGAGAGAGAGATATAGCGGAGCTGCTGCATCTCACTGTCGCATACAAATGTATTTAAGCGCTCAGCGTTGCGGGGGCCAAACAAAATGCTTTTGATTTTCGCCGCAGACCAAACACGGAGTGCACTCGTCATGAGAGTGGGTATTTTATACTCAACTGAAGTTAAGCTCAGCTTTAGCGCGATACACGCGCACCTCGAGAAATTTCGCACTCAACATTGCAAGCAGCTTAGTTTTGCTAAGCCGTTCGCTATGCTGCCTGCACAAAGTGAAGTTGTTACGCGCCCCAATGGGGCACCAATTGTACTTGAATTGTTCTTATTGATTGTGCGGCAGCACTATTAGCTAAGTTACACAACACATCAGGAGGTGGCGCTTGCAAACTGAGTTAAAACGAGGAATTAGTTAGTGTTTCACTGCGGCTTAATTTCCGGCCTAATGATCGAAGCTAACGAGCAAAAAAGGTTGCGTACCATTTATCCTATTATGTCAATATTTAATTAACATGCCAAATGTTTTAGTTTAGTACGCCTTTTCAGTTCGATCCTCTTCATTATGTATACGATGTGTGGCGCACTCTGTTGGCCCTAAAAAGCCGACAGTTTTTGCGGCTGAAGTGCACCCGAAATGAAAGACTAATTAAGCGGCTTATTTGCGCGTATTAATAGACCAACTTGTGGTCAGCTTGTGTGTAAGCGTCTCTCTGTGTATGTGTGTGTGAGTGTGGGTCAACAGCTACCATAACAATAAAAACAACAGCAACAAGCATTGGTGGCCATAGCTCTGACCATTTATTTATATTTCGATTTAAAAATAGCAAACACACAAATGGACTTATAAAACTCTCTGGCCGCTTACGTGCCGGCGCCGCAGGGGCAGTCGCAGAAAAATGCAGAAGAAGGGGGAAAAATACAAAACAGAGCAGAACAAAAAAATAAAATAAAATAAAATCGAAAAATAAAGAAAAAGAATAAATAGAAAAGGGTGCAGAAGTCAAAAGGAAATAAATGGCTTTTCAAGTCTTATTTACTCGAGAGAGCGTGTGCAAGGAAAGCGGCTTGAAGGGTAATACCGAACGGAATCAATGTAAAGGTCACAATTTATTCAATTGCCCTGGCCAAGATATTTTTATAGCGTGTTCATGCGCCAAGGTCCAGACCTAATCCCAAATCACAACGGAATTACAGACTGGTAATGGTTATGTAGCGGACGAGGCAGCGGAATGGCGGGTGGCAGGGTTCAAGAATCCAGCGTATAATGGCCAATTGATAGCCAAAAGGCATTAACACGCCAGAGCGAAATTCCCTTGGCTAAAAATCCGCAGCCCGCCACACACCAGGCCCCAAGTTTTGCTGACTCAAAGAGAGCAAATTTTTCGCAAACTCACAGAGAGACACAAAATATTAAGTTCAAATGTAGCAGAAATCCAAAATACGTGCCATGCAGTAGTAAACAGCAGCCGGGCGACTCCAGAAGCCCAACCCAAAGCCCCAAAAGCTCCGACTCAAACCTTAACCTTGTTTAGGTGTGGCTTAAGCGTGTGTGTTTGCGGGTTTGTATGTGTGCGTGTGCGCGCGTGTGCGTGAGCTGAAAATCACGTCTTATTCAATGCGCTCCTTTGAAAATTTATTGAGGGATAGGTCAGAATATTCATATATCGATATTTCTCTGCTTTATGGATGTTATTTTTTTTTTAATTTTTTATAAAATTTAATAAAAAATTGCTGCCAGCCATTGAGACGGAGACAAATGATGGCCGGCGCGTTGCTACGACTACAAAATGGCCAAGGTAATCCGAAGAAGCTGAAGCTCAGCAGGGTGGCCCTGCGCCCTGTGCCCTGCGCTTGCAAACACTTAAAGCTATTAAATATTTTATGATATATTCCCATATATATGGTTGGACATTGAGAAAGAGAAAGCATGAGACTTGGGCAAAGTTAATGGCTTAGAATGGTATAAAACGAATAACGAACAACGCAATGGGCATATTTATGAAATTTTTATCATCATTTTTCAAAAAGCCAGCCAAGAATGCAGTAGCTAGATTCGACACATTTCGGGTGCTGTGCCCTGTATGGAGTTCCATAAATACCAACATATTTGCCTGCTTTTGAGCAGCAGCAACCGCCCAGCTTGGCAGCAGCGCAACTAACCACAATATTGGCTACGCAGCATATAGATGCAAATTTTGTAGACACTTATATGACTATGCATACATATATACATATCTATATATATGTGTATTATTTACCCTGTAAACAATCATTGCGTAATTGTTTGTCAGATGAATTCAATAGAAGTTCAAGTCTCTATATCCTACATTCTTTGAGTTTCTCTGGACAGGGTTCGTTTATAATAAAGTATGCAAGACTCAGCAACTAGATACCATATACAATATATATATCTTGCATAAGTACAAAATATAATAAGTGAAAAAGCAATTTGGAAAATAATAAAAATCTGAATAACAAACAATAGATATAGCAAACAAGTGTCAGCTGCATATACCCCACAAATGCAGTTCGTTAACTGGGTATGTGCATTTCGAAAAATGAAATAAAATGAAAATTGTTTAAACGCATGGAAAGTGCTTGTGGGATGTGCGCATAATGTTTCTTGAGCTACTTATGGATGAGGGGGCGACAGACGAGAAGCGACAGACGATAGACAGCAAGACTTGAGAGAGAGAGAGAGAGAGAAAGAGGGAAAAAAAATGAGAGCGAGAGAGCGATGGGGGAGAGAGAGGACATGGGTACAGGGTACAGAGGGCAGAGGCCATTGGCGTTTGGTAAAGAGTTGCAGCTTAGAGCATGGCCATAAAAAGGTAGGATATGGATGAGACTTAGCTAAGACAGCAACCAAACAGAGAAACAGCAACTGGAGGGAGAACAGAAAAATTGAAATTGTGCAAGTGCATGGAAATTGCTAATCGGATGTGCAAGAAATGCTCTGAAACGAGTTGACGCCAATGGAGAGACAATAGAGACAGCCAAGTCAGGGAAAGGCGACAGGCGAAAGCCGAAAGGCGATGCAGCAGGAGGATTTGGCAGTAGCTAAGACCACAACCAAACGAAAATTGCTTAAGCCAATTGCATGGAAAGTGAGCAACGGATGTGCCAAAAGCCATTGCGACAGTTAACAAGGCTTTAAGACAAGGCACAATACACAAGCGAGCAAAAGTTGAATAAGCCAGATATCAGATTACTTAAGATAGCATACAAAACATGCTTTCAGTACACCTACTACCCAATGCATATGTGTGTGACTGAGTATGAGTGTAGGCGGGGTGTGTGTATGTGTGTGTAAGCAGCTTGTGACAATCAAATTAATCGGTCTGCCCATCTGGCAAGCACTCGAAGTGAAAGCATTTTCCCTCGAACTGATTTGTTGTGCGTAATTTTATTATATTATCGATAAATACTTGCAAATGAATTGGAACTTGGTTAAGAAGTCTATAAGATATTTTGATTTGCTTTCGATAAGTTGAGTTAAGCGAACGAAGTCTGGGAAAATTCTGATTGGATGAACCCTTGAATGCTATTTAACAATGGGATCTGTGTGAGCTTGAAAAACAGTTTTGTATATTCTATGCCAAAATTTATATTGTAAATGAATAACATAAAACTAAGTATATTAAGTTGCATTTTAGTACTCATTGTAAAATAATTAAAGTCAGGCAAAGGGCAACTCAGCATCAATTTGAGATTAAGCAAAGTTGCTATATATTAATGATAATTAAATTGCATATTTCGGTTGGATTAACTTAAGTCTTTAAAGTGCACAAATAAGGCCAATTAGAAGTTTATTGCATTCCAAACTGATGGTGAATGAAGCACAATAAGCGAAATAATAAGATAAGAGCTGCAAACCAAAAACAAAGCAAGCTGCAAGCAAAATTAAACTGATAAATACGAGCAGAATACGCGCTTCGAATACCCTGTAATAATACTACTACAGCTGAGTAAAGTATAAGTTAAATAAGGTATATGATTGGATTGCTTAAGTTCCATGACCCTAACAGATTCAAAGATCTTCCGCTATATATAGATCTCAAAGATGCTGCAGCTATTGGAAGCTCCATAAGAAGGACACCTGCTTAACATTCTGAGGGGGATCTAGTTCACATTCATTCATGATTCGCGAAACTTACCTCGTCACTTTTCAATCAGTTCCTTTTGTAACACACTCTCTTATACAGGGCATAATAAAGCCTTGAATGTTGCTCAAGTTCTTAGCGGCGGCAGATGCAGGCACCGCACCCTGCCTTAGCTCCGGCCCGAACCTTTTTAAGCTGCGTAGTTTGAAAGCCGCAATAGCAGCGGCAGCGGCACCGGCAGCAGCAGCAGCTGTCTTGGAGATT